CAATTGAAAGTGAAATAACACAAATTTATTTTAATTCTGTTATGGTTGAGTAATAAGATCAGTTTTTAAATTGTACAATTGAGTGAAAAAGCAAAAAAGTGCACATAGTCACCCAGTTACATTTGACAAAATAAGGTGACATAAGTACGGTGACCATATTAACCAACGTAAAATAGAGGACATTTTTTTCAAAATTATTTGGGAATACGTACATACAACTTGTACGATATAAGTACCGTCCCCATATCGTAATTTAAATCAAATATTTACCAGTTAATTAGCCGATTCCGAAAAATAAAGCCAACTCCTTTTCAAGGATTTCGCCATCCTTTGCTCGCAAAATGCGTTTACCATAATTCATACCGCACGCCGAAGCTAGCACACAGTGGTTTAAAATTGGAATTTTTTGTTGAAAATTTTTTTATAACATTTCAAACCTTTTTTTGTAATTTTTTCGCTTTGGGGAACCATACAATTATTTTCAACTAGTCTTTGTTATGTAACATTTATTAGCTGGAACAGGCGAACACATTTACTTCAAAAATGCAACTGTTTCTGCATTTTGCTCTAAAAATTTTAGTATAATCAAATAAAAATTCACAAATCAGGTTCAACTGGTCTCTTGCAAATATTATAAGCTTTCATAAAAAAAAAATGATCAAATTAAGTGAAAAAATTAAGGCTTAATGCCAGTTTAGAACCACTGTGCAGCAGGGGGTTTATTGTTCTCTATCAGTGGAACTAGAAACTCAGCGTGCAATACAATCCTGGACACAGCTTTCCCTGTGCTTTATAGATTGTGCAAAGATTACGTATTAAATAAAAACCCTTAAGTGGGGGCGAATCGAACTGGCGAAGGTTTTCATTATATTTTATAAGGGACATTTTTATTTTTCATATTCTGTGTTTAAAAATTTACCGTCCTTTATTTTGAAAAAAAATTATAAAGGACAGGGGGTTAAAATAAAGGACTCTCCTTTAAAATAAAGGACGGATGGTCACCGTAGACATAAGGCTCATGGCCATATTTGGAATTGACATTATGGGCCTTAAATATGTTTCAACAAAAAATTAGTACATGCACAAGTTCAATGGACGGATATTTGGGGAAAAAAAAATTATATGTGTATACGTATGTAAGTATGTATAAAATTTTGAAAGTGCCCAGATTCGCGGCGATCCGCGACACTAGTTCACTGCTAATAACTATTTATGTCTACATATCGTCGTTCACTGCTGAAACTGAAACATAAAGGAGAGTATCGGGTAATTGTGTAAGGAAACAATAAAATCGGTTCATTTTCTATAAATACTTTTTTCTTATAAATTCTTTTTTCATCTTTGGCTTATGAATATATTGTACCATGATACAAAAAAGAAGGTGGTTTCAATAAACAACTTTTTGATTAAAAAGCAGATTTTTGACAATTGCTCAATTGTGAAAAATTCGAAGCGGCATTACCCAATTGTAAGTTTTTTGGTGTGGGACATTTTATATCCTAAATTTGGGATTATAAAGTAAATAGTTGTATTGATATATACCTTTTAAAACTAATCAATATCTTATTTTGAAAACGTTTAAATTTTACATTAAATTCGATAACAACTTGCCAAATCATTATTTTAATATTAATACAATTTTAGTGAACATATTTTAAAAGTATGTTAGTGTCCTCATGTCATCTCATTAATTCACAATGTAGTTTTCTATATCGGATACGTAATTCTGATGTAATTCTGAAATTACACATTTACACAAATTACTGAAATTACACATTTCGATGTGTTATTTAATACATATTGTCTTTGTCCATTTAACAGCAATGGAATTTACTTTGGAACTCATGGGCCGTAAAATTTTTCTAGCAACACATATTGTTTTCACATAAAATTTTGACACACCCAAAATTGAAGGATAAAATAAATAGATAAAAACAAATTTTCAATAAAACTGATCTGTGTAGTCCAGGGTCGTCTTTAGTAAATGTTTTGGAGGCTGTTTTAACATATCCTATCTTATTATATATTTCTTAGCTTTTCTACATTCTGAGAAGTTGAGAGAATGAAGTCTAATATTCTTTTTTGGTCAACTACGATGTTTGATTTCATTTTTTGCAATCATTAGTTCATTTCGCTTGAGGAGTCACAATGCCCATACCGGCTTTTTTTGAAATTTCGGACACAAGTTTTCCAATAATGGTTATAGGCTAAAACAAAACCGATATCTAAAGTGCGTGTAGAACCTCCCATAGAAATCGAATTTTTCATAGTGCATATCTCTGGAAGTATTTGTGGTAGAGTCCTGGAACTTTGTATGGATATATGTATATGAAGTCAATCTTAAGCTCATGGAAAAATAAGAGTTTATTGGAAAATGCGGCGTGCCACCGTAGAACTAGGAATAGAGGTAAATGAAATCAATCCCAAACCTATGAAAAATGGGGGTATATGAAAACAATCTAGCGGTATAGGCCAAATAAACTAAAATTCTGGTGACGCATAAAAACCTCTGGAAGCATTTACCTAGAATACAGAGATAAGGTATTTTTCCAACGAAAATATGTACAGAAAAACGGGCGCCACACCTTCTGGAAAGTAACATGATCACAGGGTGTATCCCGAAAACCATTTTAAGCTAAACCTTCAGGGATTATATTCTTGCCAAGACCCACAGGCATAAGCCGAAATTGCGTCGCAAGTTTTATGATCGGCTTGGGTAAGGTTTAACCACTTAACCCCCCTTTGTTTTCGTCGCTACTGAATTCTATAAACTGTCAGCTTTCACACAATTTAAAATATACATGTGTATTTAAAAATGTCATGAAAATTGTGTTGCTAGCTTCATGTTGCAAAATGTTTCAAGGAAATGTTGTGGAATTTCACACTTATTTCTTGTTTATTTCTTATTATGCTATGCTTAAGAACAAAATATTTTTAAATCGACAAAACATTAATAAGAAAATTTGAAGGATTTTAGATATTGGGTATGGTAGCACGAAATGTCACAATCTGCTTAATTGTCAGGTTGTAAATATGGCGACGAAAAAGTGGCAATAGAACTACCTTGTTTTTTGTATCATGTATTGTACTACGTTTATGCATGCAGAATTCATGAATTCTTCATATCCTGAATTCAAAAATGGTTTCCGTTTATGCATAATTCGCGAATTCATGAATGAATGAACAGTAAGGTTGTGGTATTTTTCCCCTTTTTTTTTAATGTGCAAAAGCCGTTGGTACCAGGAAATGGTCCATGGTATATTTAATCTGGTTTTAATACATTTGAATTTCTTCTATGAATTTATTTTATATCTCAACAAATCCACGTAACTTTTCTAGTGTTTTAAATCATGGTTATGGAACGACATACTTTTGATTATAAAAACATCATAACGCTAGTAAATAGCTGTTTGTGAAACGCGGCGTTGCCGGACTAGCACCTCACGAGTTTATGAAATGATGCCGAAATTCATGGTTAATTTCCAAACTGGCGTTACGTTATGCTCGTATGACAAATTGCAAAAAAAATAGAAAAAGTCAAAATTCTGGCAAGGTTTTTCTAGATTTTCATAGCAATTAAATGGCTCCCTATTTAGTAAAAAAATTACAACTGTTGGTAGTAGCGATTTAAAGATAATAGTAAACTTACGCGCTGGCGTGACGTTACAAGAAACTGAAGTGGATTTTGACTTCGATTAGAAAATTGCAAAATTCTGCGAATTGGGCAATACTATTTGTATAAAAGCATTTGTAGTAATATTGGAAATGTTTAGGGTTAATTTTGCGATTATTGAAATGTACAAATCTTTTCTGCTTTATGTTTAATCAGCTGAACTATCTGACGTGACGTTACCTGGTGTTACGTTATTCAAATTTGCATTGAAAAAGTTTTGTTAATATTGTTCTTGAAAGAATCAACAAATCAGAGCATAAATATGAGTTTTCAAAATGTGTCTGCTTACATAACCAGTTACATACTCAAAAAGGAGTTGTGCTCGCAAAAATATTTCATATGGCATGCCCAAATTTTGAAAACTTAAATCATAATTATTTTAATTTTTGGTACTCAAAATGGTTTTTAAGAAAGGTTGTTAGTTTTTATGATTCAAAGGTGCCGCCAGGAGTTAACATCGTAAATAATATTCGGCATTTATTTTATACAGATAACTTTTGAAATATTAAATAAAGATAATTTCTGTTCCCGAATTCGTAACATTGAGCTTTTAAAATGCGTCTATTTGATTATCAATGATTTTTCCAAGTCTATGTAAACTGGAAAATTACCGTAACAATGATAACACCCGGCGAGAGTTTATTTTTTACATTTTTCTGTTCACTCATTCATTAGAACGTTGTTGCGGATAATATGGGGCCGGACGATTTGAACGCATTCTTTTCATTTTGTCTCTAGTAAGGAATTCATAGAATATTGCATGAAAATAATGGCGCTAGAGAAACCAAGTGAGTTTTTGCAAATTGTTTTGCAAAAAATGTAATTAAATAATAATAAGCTGATACCGAATAATTTCATTATCTTACGTTCTTTATAACCATTGTACCTGATAAACTACACGACTATTCTCTTCCAGATCTGGACTTAATAATAAATTAATACGGTGAATTAATAGAAAAAATGCGTGACTCACAAACAGTGTGGCCAGACATGTATTTTGGGTTGAAATCGTTGTAATTTCAATTATGACTTTATTACTCATTTGTACAATTTCGAATGAGACTTTATTTCACTTCTGGAATGGAAATAAAGTCATATGGTTTTATTTCCAAAACAAAATGGAAATACGACCATGTGGCCTTATTGCGTATGGTGTTATTGCACCCCACCTCTTTAAATTACCTATAACCTGATTAAGAAGTTTCACTTCAAAAAATTAGCAATTAGTTGAAAATCAAGGCCAGGGACTATTTTGAGTAGTACATTCCAGTTTGGCACCACTGTTCGGTGGCCGTATTCTGCCCTATTAATGAAACACGACGGTAGGTAATATTTACATAAATATATTTATTTTAGCAAAAAACGTCTTAAACCAATTTGTTCTGAGTAGAAAAATATTTGATGTAAATAATTGAATGGCCTCTAAATATGTAACTGCACGTAACCAAGTATTAAGTGAAGCTATGGTTATAAAGCTTTGTAAACACACAAGCAATGCAAAAAAATATGATCAGAATGAAAATTTCTTATTATCTAAGAATAACATTTAGCAAGGAGACTTGCAGTCCAACATAGCTTGAGCGCAGTAGTGAGGAAATTGTATGCCTTGCAACAGTATGCCGTTGATACCCTGAAAAGATATGTAAAAAAGGATTAAAATTAAAAGACCAAAAAACTAATAAGAATAGGTTTACATAACGTCGTTTAAAGTACAAAACCGCGTATCGTGGTTCTGCAAAGCCTCGTAACTGATATTTGTGCGAAACAAGATATTTGCTCACTGAAAGCTCCTGGCATCAATCCCTTATCTATTCATACTAAATAATCGATACTGCACAATGACTTTTACTGACGATGACGTTATTCAGAATGGGGCCGACTAAAATTTGATAACTATTTCGGCGATGATATCTCTAAAAGTGCATAATTCATTTAGTGATACGTGAAGAAAAAAATTATTCATATCACATCAACATGCATATGTATGTAATTATGGTTGATTAAAATAATCAAAATTTTTGTGAATAAGCGAGATATGCTGAACAATTAAAACAACATCGATTGCAAAAAAGTGACGCATTTGTTATCTCAGGGACATATGTATGTAAATATCCATATGTATGTATATACATTACGGTAGTCCAAAGTAAGTAAAGTCGGAATTTTAGTGCTCTCAGTCCCTAGGATTTTTCTACATCGAAAAAATATACCCCTATTTTTTATTTCAAATAAAAAAATATTTAGATGTGGCTCAAAGCGGTTTCCAAGTTTTCCAAGTATTCTATATGGGAAAAACAGCTTTTCGTATAAATGGTATAGAATTCTTGGCGGAGCTATGGTTACTAAGAACAAATGGTTCAATAAATAATTGGGCATTATTGGAACTATCCTAGGGGGTGAGAGTATAAAATTCCGACTACTTTTCCACGTGCGTTTTGGACCACCCTAATGTGCATACATACCTAACAAAAAATGGCAAAACCACATAAAACGTTATCAGCACAATAAAATTAAGAAACGGCTTT